ATATACATACTATTGTACTATTATATTATTGTATTGTATTACTACTTAATATACTTTTGCTAACCATCTTGCCAAAACATCTTGGATTATAACAGTAAGTGCGTGACCTAGATGTAATATTCCTGTAATATTAGGTGGTGGTAAGACCATACTAAAAGATTCTTTGGTTTCTTTTTCCTCTTGAGTACTATTGCTTGTCCTCCTTGTTATCCTGGATGATGCAAAGTATTTATTACGTTGCCAGGTATCATACCAGCCATTTTCCACATCTTTCGGTTTAAAAATTGCAGGAAAATCTATAACGTAAAGAATAATATAGTAATGTTTAGAATAATACAATAAGAAGCACATTTTATATTCCTTTTCTTATTAATTTTCAATTGATAATTTTTAGTTAATTCATTTGCTGCAGATTGTAATGTATGTGAATCTGTATAAAAAAGAAGAATGAGATAACGCAAAAATACCTGCTAGTCTTTTATAGTTACATAATTCAGTTGTAGTTGCAGTAGACGTGTAATAACGTAATGTTCGATAACAAAAATTTACGTGTAGAAAGGGATGATCGAACAATATATATTTCATTATTATTAGATAAACTCTGTTTCATAGGAATTTTAATAAAATTATAGATAACACGGAACTTGCGTTTTTTAAATAATTTATTGGCCAATTAATTATAATGGCGCGCGCGTGATCTAATACAATATCTTAACAATTAAGATCTAACAATAACTTAACCTCAAATTCTCTTGCATCTGCTATTGTGCTATTTCAGCACTTTCAGCAGTCTCAGCTCTGGTATCAGGTGTAGGTAACAATTAATAAAAAATTAAAATTCTTAAAATTATTTATTTTTTTATTACTTTTATATGGTTTTCTAATTTTGTTTTTCTAATAATTTGTTAATTTTTTAGTATTTAAACTTCCACAAAATTTAGCAAAATATTTATAGTCAGTCAATAATATATGTGTAATTTATCGATTGTTAATATTACTAACAGAGAAAAACCTCTCTGCAGGTAATTACCTGACGACTGTAGAACTATGTCGACATTAAAACATTTTTTAATTTTCCATTTTATATATATATATATAAGGAAATAGAATGTAAAGGAATATTTACAAAAACAAATAACTCATTTTATATAATACATGTTTTATTATATTCTTAAAAAAAAAATGGAAAATATATATTAATTAATATAATATATATTTAATAATCACATACAGTACATTATTGGAATGTTTTCTCCATTTTTTAAAGATATATATATATATATATATATATATATAAAATTAATAACTAAATTCACACAATTAGTTAAAGAAAAAAATAAAATATAGAAATTCGTCCATACTTCGACGAAGTGACTGCATGACAACAGAAACGATGTCTTAATAAGTGTAAATGTTCTTTCAAGAGAACTGACATGGAAAAATAACAAAACTGAATGTTATCTGTGTAAAATAGAGACAACAAATGTAAACAAACTTTTTTATATATTCATAATATCACAAATTATCTGTCTCGCGCGTGCGCGTGCTAAAAACTATTATTATTGTACATAAACATAAAATACTTCAAATATTAAATATAATAGATTGTTTCTATTTTATGAATATCCTTTTATCCTGAGACAGCATTTCTTTAAACCAGAATTGTTCTCAACATTCGATACATGTATAATTGTTATATATAATCCATAGAATGAAGCGAGTAAAAAAATAATATGCAAAAACATTTTTTTTGTATTTTGAAATAGGATTGGAGATTAACGAAAGTCCAAATTAAAAAAAATTATATTGCAATCTCTTAATATGATTGACGGCGCAACAGTTTCTCATTCTCTGCATGTTGGTCTGAATAAAGATGATTGCGTAGCTGCAATAGGCCAAACGTTTCCGTTTCACATAATTTACAAAAAGCAGCCACGTTTCCCACTACATTTGCATCTCTTAAGAAAAAAGAAAGAAAATATATAAAATTCTAATAATATACATAAAAATACAAATATCTACGTACTCATAGGCAAGATTCTGTAATTGTGACAGATGCTTCAGCATTTCCTCCATCTGTTCATTTATTTCACGTAATTCCAACGCCTTATGTAGCGGATATATGTCGCCTTTTCTCACATTTTCTCGAACGGATGGCAAAAAATGTGGTCCGTTATAGCGATTCCACTTATCGCTAAGTTGATCGACCTCGTCATCTTCTGGATTTCGTGATTGTCTTTGTTTCTCTTTTAGTTCAAGTAAGATGTTTTTAATTTTATTTTGATAAAGTATAATATTCTCATCACTAGAGTTATCTAGTTGCATTGCAGTATTCATCCAGTGGCGTAATTTATTTATCTGTGAAAATTGATTATCCACTATTATCATTTTACTATTGTAATAATAATTGAAAAAGATAATTATAATCTGTCTATAAAGTTAATGAAGAGTTTGATATCGATAGCGGAAAATGAACGGAAACAATCTAACATAATATACAAGCAATCATATGACAAATTATGAATTATTGGATTATTGTTTATAGAGATGATAATACCTCTTTCACATCATCTATCGTGATTTCAACGTCAAATTGAATTTCTATGTCATGATCGGGAAATATAGCCCGATTAGTGAAATTATCCTTCGGACCCAAACCGCATAAAGCCCCTGTATAATAAGTCCTCCGAGAATTACATCTCAATTCCATACGCGGTGCAAAACTCAGCGTGAGCAGTGCTGCAAGTCCAGGAATATTTGGCAAGAAAGTGGTATTTCTCAGTGTTAGATAATTTTTATTCGACTGTGTAGTGCTTTGGGCAATTAAAAGACGTCTTGATTGATTAAGATCATCATCCAAAAGGACAGAATTGACGGACTTCATATCTACATTTATCTTTTTCATTCTTTCACCTAACGTCAACTGAATCAATTCCATTTCTAAGGGAGAAAATGGACCTTGGAGATTTACGCTGGAGGTGCAATCTTCTTCTTTAGGTGGTTTAGGGTACTAGTATGATGGTAAAAATTAATTTTTTTTTGTATACGTAATGTTAATTTATATATCGATTTAAAGTTATAAATTAAATTTTTATACGAAATTCAAATAATATACTTACTTCTATTAATTCATGCTTGTCATATTGTTTCTCTTCGTAAAACTGTTTCTCTTCTATCGACATTGCATTAATATTACTAATATTTGCTCTTAATTCATGATTATGCTGTGACACATAATTTTCTTCTCTCTTTATAGCATATCCTTTCTCAATTAAAGCTTCATTAACATTAAAGCTCTCCTCTTTCTCATTAACAACAATCAATTCTAAATTAATAATGCTATCAACAATAGAATAAATTTTTCCTAATATCTTCTTGGTTTTCTTAATTTGTGTCAAAAAATAATTTTTCGATCTTTCCGACCATTGGCCGTGAAGATTGTGTCGATTCGAAGGTCGCAAAAAAGCCAAATTGCAACGAAATGCTAAAGGAGGAATTGCTAAAATTGTAGTACTATCAATTTTCCTTAGATCACTAAATCGTATTCTAGAGAAACGACCGTAATCGATAAATAAAATATCGACCAGTTCTCCGATTTCTGAAATATATTCCTTGATTACAGCACGATGATAAACTAAAGAATCATTCTCTTCTACGGGAGCAGCAATTATGGTCGAGATTTTTGGGATAGAAAGCAATTTTTTCAAGGGGCGTTTATTGAGTATTTCTTCTATAACTCGTAATTCATTATGAGTAGTATCATCATCAAGAATTGCCCAGAAAGATCCAGGGCTAATGATCTAAAAAAAAAATACATACAATTTAAAAAGAATATATATATATATATATATATATAAATAATTTAAAAGAATAAATACATCTTTAATATACGAACATTATTTTTTATTAATTTATAAAACAAAAGAAACTTACATTTTGTATAAACAGAGGTATAAAAGTTACATCAAGACCTGGCAAATTTGATCTGATTTTAGGAACATTATTCTCTAGATTTTTACACTTTCTTGTTTTATAATCAATATCTTACAATATTTATATTATATTTTTTTTATAATTATATTCTTCTACATGTGTTTTTACATAAAATTTAATTTACATAATATTACAATTCGATTTAATTACAGATATTAGAGAGAGAGAGAGAGAGATATAGATATAAAATATAAGATGTAAGACAGATATAAGATTCGTTCATGTTGCTTATATAATAGCAATAAATGCAAGCAATAAATTGATAATTACCTGATAAACAAACTCTGATATATTTTGAAGACTATCATCAGCGGTTTCCTTTTCGTGAAAATGCACATAAACACGTTGCGATCCATCAAAAGATATTTCTATTTGCTTTTCTAGAATTCCTTGATGTTTGGCAAAAACCTCCTGAAATCTTTTGGCGTATAAATATCCAGGCTGTTTCATTGGCCAACCCCTTAAATAGATTGTTTTCATAGGATCCAAAGAGTTCAAGGTCATTGTGATATTTTCTTTATAAATTTCTCGATTTTGTAAACGTTTAATAAAATAATTGGGGTAGAAAGCTCCAGCAAGAGCAACTTGAAGCACGAAATCACGATTTGCGCCTAGAAATAGAATGGAAAAATATAATTAAAAATAATTATAGAATAAAAGAATATAAATAAAAATCACATCATTTAATAAATGACTTAAAAAAACCTAAATGTTAAATAATTAATAATTTACCTTGCCAGATGACTTTATTTACTCCTATACTCTCTTTAATTCCAAACTTCTGCAATCTAATGGTGATATCGGTCACCAGAGCATCTAATTCACGCAAGGCTCTTGTCTGGAATCCATTTCTCTGGGCCCATTGTCTCTCGGCTTGATAAGAATTTATCCGCCGATTTGCTTTTTCATTCTGCCACATCTTGTAAACATTTAAAGTGGCAATGCAGTCACTATCAGAACCGTAGGCCCATTTTTTTCGCGTCGTATAGGAAGAAACAGTGGGATGGCATTGCTCCAAAGAGAAAACATCCTTAATAGCCATGCTGGCTCCCAGAATAATAGCATTTCGTAAGACTCCGAAAATGTGCCCCAACATAATCAATTTCGAAATTCGAATGTCGAGCGGAAGAGTCGCCATTACTCTGCCGAGATCGGTTAAATTTCCGTCAAACATTTGAAAAGAGTCGCCTTCGTCTACTAAGGCTCCGACTTCTTTTAAGCTCAAAATGGTATTTGCCAAATTGGAGAGAGTAGGTGGATCAAGAGAATGTGAAAGAAGAACACGTGGCTCGTCGAGATCAAGGATTTTGGCTCGTAGGACAACATTGGCGAGTGGGGCGCGAAGTATTTCTGGTACGCAGTAGTCATCCAAAATATTCTGTAAATTTTATGAGAAAGCAATTAATAAGTATTACACAGAAAAAATTTAATACATACATGAACTTTGATAAATTATATGTGTATATATCACTTGTAGATCTTAAAAAAAGTACTATATACATTGAGATATAAATAAAATTATAGTAAAATTATCCTTTATATTACTTATTAACTATTAAATTTCATTAAACATACGATTTAGAATTTTATTTATAAGTTTTGTCTTATACTTCAATAGTAGTGTAATATTATATGCTTATAAAATGTAACTTACGTCAAAAAATGCTTTTGGTACTAATCTATACACTCTGCCATCCATTACACGACCCGTGCGACCAGCTCGTTGTATACAATTTGTTTTACTCGCCCAACATAGTTGCAAACTTTGATAATGAGTTGTGGGATCAAATGTCAGCAGTTTTGTAAGACAAAAATCTATCACTATATAAATTATACATCTTAATTAATCACTTTCTTTCACTTTATCAATAGTCAAAATACTATAAAAATAATAACGTTCATTTATATTATAGTTTATTATATATTTTTACATATTATTTTATATTTAATACTTCTCTCTCTCTCTCTCTCTCTCTCTCTCTCTCTCTCTCTCTATCTCCAATTAAATGGTTTCATTGTCTCAAGAATTATAATAACGTATAATTTATAAAAAATGCATATTTACCATATTTTACATCTGGTACAGTAATACTGCTTTCAGCAATATTTGTGGAAAGTATAATGCGTCTGTAACCTTCCAGTGGTTTTTGAAAAACTCGATGCTGCTCGTGATCGTCAGAAACCAATGAATGCAAAATCGTTAGGTCCCATAATTTATTCTGATGATAAGTTGACGACAAGTAATTATATAATTCTTCAATTTCATAAATTCCTGGTAAAAATATGAGAACGGCATGTCTCTGAGATGAATTTAAATCTTTTTCGTTATCATTTATATCAATTTCATCTAGAGCGTTGATAATAAGTGAACAAAAATTGAACATTTCTTGAGTGATCTTTGGTTCCATGACAGATACTTCTGGTATCTATAAAATACAAATTTATTATATACTTATACTTTATGTACATATCTTTGTTAATAAAAATTTGAAACTTCTAATATTAATAGATAATTTTTATTTAATACTAAAATAACAATAATATATCATATAATACACCAAATCATACATTGTAAATAAGTATTTTTCGTAATCTGTACTCACACTTCCTAAATTCTTGATCTCATCCAAATAATATGTACGAATCTCAAAATTTTTCTTTCGAGGAATTTTGAGAATAGGCGCCGGAATTAATTCATTTTCTACTATTGAAGAAAAATATTTTGCAAATTTTATTACATTAATTGTTGCTGACATGAGAATAACTTTGACTTGTCCAGAATTTGTTTGCAATAATTTTTTAACAACTAGTAGAAGAAAATCCAAATTTTGATCGCGTTCATGAATTTCGTCTAATATAACATGAGTATAGTCCAACATGTGTTTATTGTGAATCAAATGTTGAAGGAGAATTTCAGTGGTGCAATAAGTTAGACGGGTTTCATGTGAGGTTTCCTTTTGCATACCCACCTGATAGCCTACAAGGCTACCAAGACTCCAATTTCCTTCTTGGCTCACTCTTTTGGCAATACTTATAGCAGCAATTCGTCTTGGTTGCGTAACTATATTAACATTGTAATTTTTTAAATAATTTTATGTATACTATAATTTTTTATCATGATATTAATAAATAAAAGATAAACCTATAATATTGCAATTGAGTCTCTTCTTAATATTAGCATCAAGAATGAATTGTGGAATCTGAGTGGTCTTTCCACAGCCAGTTGGCCCTTGAATGATGACTACCGAATTTGTCTCAATTATTGAGATTATCTTATCCTTCATAGACAGAATAGATAAATCATTAGATTTTGGATTGTAAGTAAAACTGCATTCTCGATAGACTTTAGCCAAATCTTCTACATAAAGACTTTGCAGACTGTCTTCTAATTCTTCTGTTATATTTGCATTACATTTTTTTCTATTTTTATCTCTTTGGTTCATATACTAGAATGAATATAGAAACATAACAGATGACACAATTCCTCTTCTTGTATTCTTTTAGGATAAACATCTTTTTAAGTACCAATTTACATTCATAATAATATATATATAACTAAATAAAATATATATAATTTTAAATACAAATTGACTATAAAAAATTATATGTGTGATGAATGATCCTTTTACCCTTAAATACTCCTCGGCTTCTACTTCTGTGTAATCTTTCACATAAGTTTCCTCCATGGATTGAATAGATATCAAATGATTGTCCTTTCCACCTGAGAAATTCATAGTTTTAAAAATTGATTACTTCTACAGGTTTATACTAATCAATAATCTGTACAAAATCTATAAAAAATGATGTTACAATAATATCATAATTAAATAATTAAACAATGTATTAAATTACTTGTGCAGAATTACAATACCGTTCAAAGAGAGAGTTATTATTATTATTCATGCTATTGCTAAGTTTCATTGCTTCAATTATCGATAAGAGAATAAGGCCTGATAAATCTTACATTCAATAGAAGCCTGCTTGGACAGTGGACTACAAAACATCCACACACTTATTTAATAATAACCGACTAAATGCAAATACTTTATTACCGCGATTGAATAGAGGGATGCTTTCCAGTAACGATAATAGTCAGACATGTGTACAGTGTTCACACAGTGAATTGTTTCATCCTTATTTAACGTAAGCAAACAACAAAGATGTAATAAGCGAGTTCAAATGGCAAAGCGGCTAGGCATGCTTATTGAGCGATTGTATATGATTGATTGTTATCTATAGATCCATCTTGAACTCTAATGATTCATTGGCTGCGTTCAGCGGACTCAACAGTAATGTATTCTTCCAGATCTAAAATGCTGATTGGATAATCTGAAAGAATACACCAATAATAGCGAGCGCTAACTCAATATTGAGTTCGCTGAACGTAGCCATTGGGCGCATTCAGTGGACAAAATAAGTCACATGATAGAAATTGATGAATATCAAGTGGAAATTTTGATCTTGATTTATTTTGCTGAAAATGAGCGCCACACATTAGAATGAAAAGGCAGCTTTAAAAATTTATTTTGAGCTAAAGTTCCTAGGAAGCATGTTTTTCTATTGGATAATGAACAGAGCCATCTGATGATAAACACTAATATCACCAAGTCTAATGAAATCTAACCTATTCAAGATTCTCGAGAAATCTCGAGTCTTCTGAGATACTCGCCGATTGTCGCGGACCGGTTGTCAGTAGTTGTGTTGGCATACGTTTATTAATATCATTATTCTAATTTAGAAAAATTATTTCATATTTTTATACGTATCAAGATAAACACAATTGAAAAAGAATGACTGCTTTCGAAGGTATGACGTTTTTAACAAGTTACTTGTAAGCTTCAGCTTGTATAAAATTTCAGTTTAGTTATGTCGGTTTGCCTAACAATTGTTATATCATTTTGAATGAGATCTCTTTTATGTTTTTAGAAATGGGCGTTTTGCCAGAAATAGGCAAAGCAGTTGATGAAATAGAATGGACGTAAGTAAAGATGGGCTATTTCATAATGTAACTTTATGATTTAATTAAAATGTCATGTATCGGAGAAAAAAAGAAAATATCCTTATTTTTAAAAGAATGCGAATTACAGACTACCAACAGATGTTCAAGCTGAAGCTATCCCATTGATTTTGGGTGGAGGCGATGTACTCATGGCCGCAGAAACTGGTAGTGGAAAAACTGGTGCTTTCTGTTTGCCTATTTTACAAATAGTTTGGGAGACCCTTAAAGATTTGGAATCTGGGAAAGGAGCTACTGGAGCTGTAGTTCAACAACGTGTGTATTTAATTTTGACAAAAATATAAATTTGTAAAGTTGATAAAAAGTAATAGAAATAATTAAATATTATCTTATAGCGACGCATTGGGGTCTGAGTCTATTTGATAGAGGACGAGCTATGGCAGTAACGACGGATGGTTTAAGATGTCAGAGTAGAGAACAAAAGGAATGGCATGGTTGCCGTGCAAATAAAGGAGTATTGGGAAGTGGCAAGTATTTTTTTGAAGCAACAGTCACTGATGAAGGTTTATGTCGAATAGGCTGGTCTACATCTCAGGTATTTTCATAAATTATACAATTATCTTATTACTCCAAATTATCTTATTATGAAGATGAGAAAGATTCATGGAGAATGTTTGTTCTTCTGATGCGATAGGCTGCCTTAGATTTAGGAACAGACAAATTTGGTTATGGATTTGGTGGTACAGGAAAGAAATCAAATGCGAAACAATTTGATAATTATGGAGAGGCCTTTGGAATGCACGATGTGATTGGATGTTTTCTAGATTTGATGAAAGGTGAAATAAAATTTACCAAGAATGGCATGGATTTGGGTGTCGCGTTTATATTAAATGCACAGCAAAAATCGCAGACTTACTATCCAGCTGTTGTATTGAAAAACGCTGAGATGGCCTTCAATTTTGGAGCACAACCGTTTAAGCATCCGCCTTCAAATGACTATGTGGCTGTGTCTTCGGCTCCAAAAGAATTTATCAAGTTCAATCCTGTTAATAGCAATCAGAGTTCGTCTAATGAAAGTGGTAAACTAAAAAATAATGCGCCTCAAGCGATCATCATAGAGCCTTCTCGCGAATTAGCTGAACAAACTTACAATCAAATTCAAAAGGTGAATTTGAATAAAACATCTGTTATCGAGACTGTATACGTCTGTAGATATTAATAAACTGATATTAAATAACTATTTTTCTCTCTCTCTCTCTCTCTCTCAGTTTAAGACACACTTAAAGGATCCGACGATCAGAGAGTTACTTGTCATCGGTGGAATAAGTGTAAAAGAGCAGATTGCTGTTTTGAATTCTGGCGTGGATATAGTAGTCGGGACTCCTGGACGATTAGAAGATCTCATACAAGGCGGTTATTTGTTGTTGACACATTGCAGGTAATTTATCATTTGACTGCAAAGAAATGACATTAAATCGGAGTAAATTATTGAGGTAAATTAATATTTCAAGATTCTTTGTACTGGACGAAGCTGATGGACTACTAAAACAGGGTTACACCGAACTTATCGATCGTCTGCACAAACAAATTCCGAAAATTACGTCGGATGGCAAAAGATTGCAAATGATTGTGTGTTCGGCGACATTACACGCATTTGAAGTGAAAAAGATGGCCGTAAGTGCCACGATGTATTTGCATCACTCATACTTAACATAAATTGTATAATGTATATACATCTAAATAAGCGAATATATAACATATATAATTCGAATTTTGACTTTCGAATAGGAACGTTTGATGCATTTTCCAACTTGGGTGGATCTAAAGGGCGAAGATGCGGTGCCTGAGACCGTACATCATATCGTAGTGATGGTAGATCCGCAGAAAGACAAATCATGGCATAACTGCAGGAATTACATAGAAACTGATGGCGTGCACGCAAGAGATGAGATGAATCGAACAAATGATATTGCCTGTTAGACACTTATCGTAATCGTTAGATAATATTCTATTCTCGTGCGATAAAAATAATTGAGTGATGTTCGAATAATTACGCTCATCCTATATAGGTACGTTATCAGAAGGTGTAAAGATACTGAAGGGAGAGTACTGCATTCGTGCTATCAAAGAACATAAAATGGACCGAGCATTGATATTCTGTAGAACAAAACTCGATTGCGATAATCTTGAAAGATACCTGAAAAAATCCGGTGGACAACAGTTTTCGTGCGTGTGTTTACACGGAGACAGAAAGCCCGGAGAGCGTAAGGCTAATTTGGAGAAGTTCAAACGCAAGGAAGTAAAATTTTTGATTTGCACCGATGTGGCTGCTAGAGGATTGGATATCACTGGTTTACCTTTCAGTAAGTAGTTATTCAGACAAAATCATCCCAAAATAAAAACATATTACGTTACTTATGGATTACATTTTTTTTTAGTGATAAATGTGACGCTGCCTGACGAGAAGTCTAATTATGTGCATCGCATTGGAAGAGTTGGTAGAGCTGAGAGAATGGGTCTAGCTATTTCTTTAGTCAGTAGCGTTCCAGAAAAGGTATGGTATCATGGCGAATGGTGTCCTTCTCGCGGAAGAAACTGCAGCAACACCAATCTGACCGATCAAGGTGGCTGTTGTACATGGTACAATGAACCTCAAGTACGTATAGTCTACTTTCGATTCGAGACAGACAATCCGTAAAATAATTGTATACATATAAAATTCGATTAATACGGATGAGCATTAATACTTCCACAGTACTTGGCAGATATTGAGGATCACTTGAATGTAACGATTCAACAAGTCGGTCCAGACATAAAAGTGCCAATGAACGAGTTTGATGGGAAAGTCACGTATGGCGAAAAGAGAATGACGATGGGTATGTAATATTGTTTCTCGTTATGTTACAACAAACAATTATTAAATATTTGTGTATACCTCACAGGTTCTGATTACAAAGACCATGTCCAGCAAATGGCCCCTGTTGTGGCCGAATTGGCCGCGCTGGAATCCAAAGCGCAACTTGCGTTTTTAAATATGCATATGGCGGAGCGTTAAAGTGAAGTTACTCAAAAATATTTAACGACTGAACTCTAATCGAGTCTCGCAATTCTAGTAATATAGAATTCTATTCCAACTTTAGATGTTAAAGGAAATTAATTAATTAGTTGTTACTTTTAATTTAATATCTATTTAAAAATGTATTTTATCTTTATCATTGCTATTATTCTGTATCTTTCTGTACTTGTAAACATTTTTAAAACTTTTTTCGCACTTGTAAAGTCATAGCGCATTGCATAATGAAAATATAAATGTAAAAAAATGAAATTGTTTCTCTGTCTTGTTTGATACATTAAAACGATGTGCAATATTTTGTGTGTGTGTGTGTGTGCGCGCGCGCGCATACATATGATGTCCTAAAATTCATGACTTTCAAAATATTATAAGAAAGTTTTAGAAAAATTAAATGAAAATGTTATTTGTAAATTTTTATTTTGCGATATACATTTTTTGAAATATAACGATTTAAATATGATTAATTATAAAATGGTAGTTACTGTACTACCAGTGAGCGCTTACCAACATTCACTAATTATTGTACGCGCAACTCATGATCAGGCGGCTATCTAAATGTAGTATTTATAATTTGATCATAATTTAATCTTTATTATCTCAAAAATTGATGTTTAAAATAAAAATTTATAAATAACTTTTTTACTCAATTTTCCGAGAACTTTCTTGTTACAGTATTTTGAATCGCGAATTTTGGGACACCTATGTATATGCCCTATAAAAATTGAACTTGATAGCCAATTGCCACAAAGGCATCTGTTATTTATGTAAGATATATAGTAAGTATTTATTGTATCGTTATAGTCTTAATAATTATACTTTCATTTTACACATCGTTTTACTTACACAAATGTAGGGTACATTGGCTCTTTCTTTTTGCTTTTTTATAATTCTGCATATGTGGGTGTGTGCGTGTATGTGTAAATATATACATATATGTATATACATATATGCATGATTGTTGTGTATGTATACATATATATATGTATATATGTTCTTTTATATATTTATTATATATGTATAATATATAATATACGCGCTTAGAATTTACTAAATGATTTCTGTTTAATTACACATAATAATTTATACACATAACTCTTATATATTCTCGAAAGCAATGGTAAACGACTAAAGTTATACAGTATACAAATCATACTGTTCTCTTCTCACCGCAACTCGGATACAGCGTGTTTTCGGTTTTTTTTTCGTTTTTAACATGTTAAGATTCTGTCTTGCGCGTTATGAATATTTATCATGTCCGCCTTTTCTTCACATACGTAACGAACGAGAGACACGCGCATGTTTTTTTTTTACGTCTCTAAAGATTAATTTTTCCCCTTTTCTCTTTCTCTTTTGCGCAGTTAATACAATGTGAATGTTAATTAAATCTTTATTCGCTAAATCAATTTATTAATCCATTAGTCTTAAGACTTCATGTAAACGTTTCTTGTTCTTATCTCGCCTTGTATTCAGCAGACAGTCATCACAGAATGAGAATGAAATATTTTTCTCGTAATCTAATAACACGTTTAACACAATTATGCACGTAGTCCCATATACACCGTCTGAAATACACACAATGCACACCATTCAAACCGCGCGATTGATTTATATATTTATTTATTTATTTTATATTCTACTTGTGTTCGTTCCACGATTCATATTTAAATGGCACCATCAGACATATAACGATATACACGCACGCTAAACGTGCCTTTATGTGTTTGATCGTTTGCGTACTTTTACGGCAGCATAATATATTTTTTTCATCTGTATTAATTGCATTGTACGCGAGATACTATTGATTCACCTCATTCTGCTCTTTCTTCTCTCTTTCTCTCTGTCTCTTACAATGTAACTTCTCTCGATGGAATTACAAACCATAGTAGCGAGAGCTGATGGAATCGTGGCACGAACAATATAAATTTGATTTCCTAACGAATTTCACAAGTTCGCCAGTCACTCACATCGTGTTTGCTCTTACTCGACTTATGTCGATTCAGTCACTTCTAAATTAGTACAGCATTTATTAAATGTCACCATCGAAGAGATACCTTCATTTCTTTCGTCTTTTGCACCGATAGTAATATGATAATAATAATCTATCTTTAAGTCTTTAGCTAGACATCTTTCTAAGAGACACGCAATAACGAATAATTTAATCATTTAATGATACGAGAAAACGGGGCACGAGGGGACATAGTTATATTGACAAGTTTGGTAATTTTCTTTCTTTTTTTTTTGGTTTCTTTTCTTTCCCATTTCCCTCTCACATTCACGCGCAATAATAATTATGTGATCCATCATTTTTCTTATAGTTGGATTTAGATTAAAAGTGATTATCTTTACGGAACGATGTTGTATCCATCAGTCTCCTCTGATACTTTACTTTAATCGCGTCTTATAATTTACTGGATATATTTTCTTTTTTGGGTAAGATCAATAAACCCTATCTCTCTCTCTTTTTCTCTCCGTATTTAATATCTCTCTTAAATATATACCATTAAACGCGCGCGATGACGTATGTATATTTAACGGCGATACTTTACGTTTTATAAAAAATGTGGAGCCCAGCGAACCGCTATCGAAGACTAGAAAAAGTCAAATTCCAAATAGCACTGACGATCGTTTACCACACATATATCCTTATAGAAATGACATCATTTCGATTAATTACTTAATTTCTAAAATAGATAACGCGCTCGAGGCACAAGTAGCTTCTTTCTCTTGCTTCTTAAATTTTCTTTAAAACGGCGGAACGATCTCACATTAAAAAAAAAATCATGCGTTTAACGAAGGGAGAAAGAAAATAACATGCTGCATATACGTATTTTTTGATATTTTATATATACGTAAAAATTAGATTTAATTTTATCTTCATTTCACTATTATTTTAAATAAAAAATTAATTCTACGATCACAAAAGTAGAGATGAGATACGTAAGATCGTTCTGCGTTTCTAATTTACCTAGGAAAAGAATCGAATTTTTCGACAAATAACGAAGAATAAATGAAACCTTGCGTGTGAGAAAACTATAGGAAAACTATAGAAAGGCACGATCCACTATGGAATCATGGTGGAACCATGATATAGATACAAGATATAATGGAACATTTCCTTTTCTCTCCGTGAATGGAAGAGCGATAAGTGTACTGGCCCAGTTCCGAAAGATTACGCCATATTTGGACGATTTCATCGGGATATCGATTAGAACCGAAATAAATTCGCATCTTCCATGGAAACGTTCGTTCGTTCCATATATTTCGGTAAGCTGCCAAGTTCTATACATATATATATGCACATCGCTTTCAATATTTTTAAAATTTTAATAAATATAACGAATATATTTATATATATATGTGTATATACATCACATATCGGACTAAACGATAACACCGCCGAATATACAATCTCTCTGTTTCTGATCGTCGATGAAACCATCCAAGAAGAAAGTACATCTGACATTATATTCTGCAGATCGCTGTTTAAAACTAATTATCGAAGTTTATTCGTGACAAATGGTAACGTGAAATCGCAAGCGTATACTGTATATAATTTTATCTCACGTGTATGCATTCACTTTAAACATTCTTGATAGAGTGAAAGACGCCCTAGTGTTTGCCGTAAAATTAGATTTTTGGTTTTTTTTTCTCGAAAAGTTGGAAAGAAATTCTCTCTCTCTTTCTTTCTCAAGATTAAAACATGCTATTATATATATGTATATATAAAACTAGGATATAAAATTCCACGATAAATCTCTTATAAAAGCAAAGTCGCGCTCGTGCTATATGGATCATGATTTCATCGCGCTTATGTAAACTTTCGAGATTTTGTGCATAATTTTTAACCCGATTCTGCAAATCTCGTCGACATTAGAGTTGCGAAGAACCCGTTCAAGCTGCTACTTTCAGTAGGTCAGCTCCTAATAATGACCCTCACAACAGTCACCCATTCTGCTGACAATAATAATGTTACAACGATATACGCTTTTAATAAAATTTGACAATGCGAGATTTTTTTTATCGAATAGCAGCGTAACAATCATGATTCTCGTTTGTGAATCTCATTTCTAATCTTAATCGTGGCACGTAGCAGTTAGCATCCAGCTGTCGCGTATGGTAAACGTTTCATATGCTCTTATTGGAAATGCATAACATTCATGAATTCCGAAGCTAATAGGATCGTTGGATAACCATCTACTTTTAAGTGTTTTCTACTGTCAACATTATTATGTAGGTTGAGAGAATCGCATTGTCAACCCGGATTAATAATCTCTAACGTTAATGCAATTCTTTATAAAGAGAAGAAAAAACATTGTTTCAATTCTAATATTTCAGACATATTTTTAGAATCTTACATTGTTTCGCTATTAACTTCTTCTTCTTCTTCTTCTTCTTCATTTCCTTCTTTTCCTTCTTCTTCTTCTGTATTAGAAGGAAATAAACTAAACCAGTCAATTGAAGATGGCCGAATTAGTTAACATTAGCAACTGAGCCGCGGATCACGAAATTCTGATTACCGTGATAGCTATAATAATTATAGCTTCTTGTTAACAATTACTTTGGATCTCCTTGTATTTACGTTACGCTAATTTAAATTTCACACGTTTCGATTTTCACTTTCGTTATTTAAGGCTACACATAATCGGCGACGTGGTCCACAAAGAATATTGCTAAGGACGAAACAATAATGTGCTTCGCGAACAACGTGCTGCATTTATTATTTTCTTTCCTTTTTATTTTCGACGATTGGCGTTTATATCGCGTAACATCGCGCATCATATTGTTTCCTTATACGCTAGCTGCGTACCTCAGACAGTGCTACCTATAATTATATATATTTGGGTAACTTTTGGGTCCGAAAATTTGACTGTTAAACTATAGTAATTTGATAATTAACATTTTTGTAAAAAAAAAAAAAGTAAATTATCCTACTTGAAAGTATCGTGTTCCTAATTGCAAGAACGGTGAGTAAAAAAATCCTGAACTTAATTTTTATTCATTTTCAATAAGAAATGAGAATTTGAACAAGAAAATGAATTCGGTTTGTGAATCGTTTACTTTAGAGTAAATAGTTATTTTTGGTATTACATTAAAATTAATTCGATCAATGAAGATTAATAGCGTTCAGAATGATTTCCATATTAATAGTTTATCAGTTTTTAATATTTATAAAATTTCCTGTATTTATAAAAAAAAATATGCAAAGTCAGTCTAATGTTTGTCCTTTCCAGTTTTTATAAAAAGAATTTTTGATAGATCGATCTTCATTAAATTATATAAATATAAACAATTGACATCTATACTTAGAATTATTAATTATTTATCTTTAAGTAATTTAATAAAAAACATATTATTTGGATTATATTTATTCTAATTTACATCTATCTATTTTAACTTGATAGAATAGTTCATTTACATTAATTTCTCGAACGATTCTTTGACTAATCTATTTTCTTAAAATCAATATTTTTGAAAATATTGAATACATGACAACTCTTTATTTAAATGGAACATAAAATCATAATAAGATAATGTAATTTTATATTTTATTTGAATACAACCCGGCTATCTTTAGAAACACTTTTTAATTAAAATCCATCAGATTTTATTATTTAAAATTCGTACTGCTAATAATAACTATTTTAAATAATGACACTTAGTATCTTCTAGTAACTAGTAACTGTATTATCAGTGTAAAATTTAAAAAGACCCAGAAAATATATATGATTGTCACTCAGATAGCGCTTTTGTTGCCTTCTTAAGGTATGCAGCTAACGTATACGACGTTCATTATCGGCTAAAATCACATTCACGATTGCCATGAGACAATCGTTGCTGTATTTCGCGTTCGATTGTCATCGACTCGATGCGGTTTTCTATGCGGTCGCTCATCGCATATCCGTAATTCAGATTACGGGACTTGCAATTTTGAACGGGTCCGCCGAAATCGTAACAGCATCATAACGCTTTCTCTCGATAACACAGATATTGTCATATTTACAAATAATAATCAATCTGCGCAAATTACGATATATGTAGTATATGCATGTCCGTTTCTTTACGTATGATTACGTATGAAAAGAAAAGGAAACTTGTGCGATCTCGGCGTCTATGTATATACGATAATATACATACATACATACATACATACATACATACACATATATATATATATATATGTGTATGTATATGTATATATATATATATATATATATATATATAGTCGTGGCCATCAGCTATTTATTCGGCACATCACATCATCCACCGCTTTTACGCATACAAACAAACGATATATCACACGCTCATGAATTTTTTTTCATCATCTGTGAATAATAGCATTGTCCTTGCGTGTCACGCATACCTATATATTCCACCAATCACACAAAACGCACATACATACATACATACATACATACATACATACATACATACATACATACATACATACATACGTACATACTAGTATGGACAATAAAAATTCGTCATTACATGGCTTCAATTTACACTCCTGCTCGCGCGCTTATTTCCGTTCGACGTCGCTACGTAAACCTCTCGAAATCAGACAACAGGGCATACCCTTCTTTTAGAAGGAGCAAGACTTCTTCTTTTCTATTATGGAAAAAGGGAAGAAAAGAGGAAAGGGGAAAGAAAGATAGGCATAAATATGCTAATTACTTGTTATATTCGCCTTCATTTGACTTTGTGCCGGATGTGAACATTTCAGTTTCACGAAAATTTGATAAATAATAATCGCAAAGAGATTCTTCCCTCTTTTTCGGATTCTTTCCCTTCCAATTAGTCGTAGTAAAAATAACATTTTACGAACTTATAAATAATGTTAGAAACCATGGCTCGTGTCTGTAATTATATAATAATATGTATACGACAAATGCAAATGTATACATTAAGACGATTCAATTTATTTCTTCGTTAAACATTGCGGAATTAATGATTTTCATTCTCATCATTATAAAGACACCCTAGAAAAAAAATTCTTCGGATTAAATCCTATAATTCTTTATCTCGTTGCTTAAGTAAAATGAAATAAGACATGACGCAAAGCGCAGAGAAAAGTTTTGCTTCGCGATTACGATCGACACTTTTTGGTAGCATGCTTCATCATGTACTTATTCGTATGTCGATATTGTATGTTAAAGTTACATAGTTGTGGACACATCGGCAGATGGATACCTGTTATGTAATGCCTCGAGATTCTTATATTTTTGTCTCGAGTTATGATGAAAAGTATAAGAGAAGTATAAGAGAATCGCGCGAAAGGTAATTTAGTAGTTTGAGGATCTACAGTGCTAATGCCAGTGAATAAAATAGCAAGATAAAAAACAAGATAAAGAGGTGCGTAGGTATTTATATAAAAAAAAATTGATCAAGATTCCTTAAATATTAAAGATAAACTGAAACGTAATCATTTCAATTGTGCGATTCCGCGTCATTGCAACAAACAGATTAAACTAAAAAAAAAATCACAAAGACAGGTTTAACAAATATAATATAATAAAGAAAAGCAGAAGTAACAATCGAGTGTATTACAGTGTGCTGCAAACTTTTGAAATTCCGCTCATTTCGTATTTTTTAATTTTACTCGCTTCGATTAAATTTCTGTCATTTATGTAATAATTACGACAAATCGTCGTAATTAATCTTTCGTTTACAATATACGAAACTTTTCTTTAGACCATAGAAAACAAGATAGAGATGCATTGCGATTATAAACTGTCTATCAAATTTGTTATTACCATATTAGTCGCTATAAAATATAGCATGAATTAATCACGAGAAAAATTTTAATAAATTTAAATTAGAATTTTATTACAAATGTCTTGCTAGATGATAGTGTTAATACATATCTAAAAATTTAATTAACCGAACAACTCGTGTAAAGTGTATATGCGAGCATGTTGTGCGCAATTTTACAGGATTTTTGTTCTGTTTCAATCTCACAAAATCTTATAAGCGACGACGATGTGTATGTACATATGGAGAACGTAGCAGCGACATTATATCGCACATACGCACATGCATCAACTTTGTTAACAACTTGATACGCAAGCACACAATGATATACGCACATAGACCAAGGATTCCCGATTCTTCTAGAATAAAAATGAAGTCGGTAATTGACAATGTAAATGCGCCAAGATTCACGTTCCTCGAAATCTTTTTCTTTTTCTTTTTCTTTTCAATATATCGTCATTATCCAAGCTAGCAAGATTACATTATTTGTTAATATCATTTATCTCTTCGCGTTATTATGCTATTTCTTTTCATTAATACAATAATCCAATGTCTTCTCTTAATGCATGTCAAATTTTCAGACTTGTTTTACACATCTCTCACCGAAAATACACGTATATATATTATAATTTCTTTTTTTTATAAAATTATTATATACAATTAATATTATAAATTGCTGATTATTTATTTTTAAAAATTGTAGCGAGAAAATATTTGATTTCCGTATTTCAATAGGAAAGCGATTGAAAATGTAGTTGTTAATTAACTGCCTTGAAGTTGCTTTGCTTGATCTATGTATATACGTCATTAGCGCGCAAGCATTTCGTTAATTTTCGACTAAAGTAATGACAATCGAGGGAAAGTTGGTGAACAACTTGCTACACACGGAGTGTTCAAGTAGCGACGACGAAAGTGGTATGCAATTGTAGTAGCGATGTACAAGCAACGAGATTTTTTCGCACATTCTCGTTTCACAGAATCATGAAAACGATCTACCATGATTAGACTGTTGTCAATCAAGAGCAAAATGTATACACGTTACCACGTATCATCGGGGCGCGAGGATTTCTCAGAAAGCGAGATGCAAACTTGAGGACAAAAGGAAAACGATTGCTTCTACACAAGTCTCGAAACGCCGTGCGCGTGCAAGGTATCGCGAAATTATACTTGCGTGCATAGTAACGAAGAACTTGAACGTGGCACATTTCTTACGTTCGCGCGTGCGCGCGCGAGCATGGGCTAGTAGGATATATACAGACGATTGCTGCTGTAGATAGCGCGCGTGTCTAAGTACAGAGAAATTAAAAAAATAATTCCATTTACGGCATATATATACTTGTATATACACACACACACACACATATATATATATATATATATATACAAATATATATATATATATATATATGTATGTATGTATACATACACATATATATGTCACACAGTGAAAAAAGGAGACATTCATATCCGTGAGAGATCTCGATCGTAAGAAACGTATGTTAAAACCGATCGTGAGAATCCGTGGACGGTCACCCTGTACATATACTCGATACATAGTTATATAATTAAAACGCTCTTCGAAATACTGTAAAATCTCACAAAATACTCTTCTCGTAAAAAGGGCGCGGCTGAGACTCCTATAGGTCGGGCCAATGTAATAATAAAAAGAATCGAGATTCGGAAGTGTCGAAAGCTCAACGAAAGAAAACGAAAGAGACGTGGAGATTCTATGCGAGATGTACGGAGGGGAGCGAAGCAAAAGTATAGCGGAGATTCGGAAACGAGTATAAGGATCGAGGAAAGTCAAAAAACGATAAGATAAAAGTTCCTTTTTCTTTTTTTTCTCTTTTTCCTTTTTACCGGAGAGGTTCGCCTAAGTCTTAGGAAACGTCCTTAACTCTAATCCGATCCGAACGATAATTCACGTCAAGAGTGTGTTGAACGAGGAGGATCGTCTCTCGAATCACATCCGACAATGACGTTGGCCCACGCTTATGACAGGATTCGCGCGTTCCGCCACAAAGCGGAATCACATGCGAGAGGAATAAAATTAACGAGGTAATGGTTCACAGTACGCACAGTACGCACAGATCGAACGGCGCGCGAGAGAGTTTCCGGATCGTTCGGATCCGCCATCGTCCGGATGAACGACGCCGAGTGTTCAGCACAAGGCGAGATGGCGAGATGGCGAGATGGCGAGATTAAATACGCCCGCTTCTCTCTTGGAGGGGTCGCTCGTTCGTTTTCGTCCAACTCACTCCAACTGACGACTGACGTGACGACTGACACGTTGCGAGGCCGACGTGTCGACGCGCGGACATCTCGCGTTCTGCCTTATTCGCTCGCTCGCTCGCTTGCGGTGTTTGGCGCGAAATTTACTCCGCGCGAGGGAGAAGGAACTCGCTTCAAACAGATCTCACGCAGCGAAGAGTTGCTCGCAGAGCGGTGTGTAATGTGTATCGCTGTATACCGACTCTCGTTGACGAGGAGAAGAGTCACCCTCAAGATCCGCTGGCGCGCACTCGATCAACTATATCGCGCGGTACTATAGTCTATAGTCCTTCGGACTATACACGTTTTTCAATTTTTCGGTTTTTCCGTTTTTCCGTTTTTCGGTTTTCCCATTTTGGACTGGCGAGGAAGCCCTACGCGTTACCTGAATATACCCAGGTGTATGGAACTCGAACGAGTCCTCCTCGCGAGGCTATAGCTATAGTTGATGGCACAGCTCGCTCTCGCTCATTCACAGTTCGCACTGGCTGCAGCAGATGCGATTCAAGATGCAGCACGAGCGTGACCGTCAGATTAACGAATAATGACAGAAGACGTCGGCAGAAACGAAGTCACAAGAGCTCGTATTGGCGCAGATGCATCCGCTGGATGATGTCCCGGCAATCGTTGAACACTCTCTTGATGTTCTCCGTGTCGACGGCGCACGTAAAGTGTGGATAACAATAGTGCTTGCCATCGCCGCTCGCCGTACTTATGCGCTAGACAAACAAGCAACAACGTAACGTCACAGAACATATGTATGTGCCAGCGGCCAGCGGTCAGATCATTGATCGTAGAATCGCGCGAAAGAATTGACGTAAGAATTGGCATGCTACGTGCACTATACTTACGAGGAACTCGTCTCTTATGAAGTACTTGGCCCTTATGACGTCAGGTATTTCCGAGGGATCCGCAGCCATCCCGGGCTCGACTGGTGTTTGATAGCGCGCGAATTCCGGGAAGTAATCCTCCAATTTGTGCTTGCCCGCTTTCACCTTTTCCGCTAATAGATCTTGCTTGTTTAGGAATAGGATTACCGAGATCGTGCGGAGCCACCTGCGAGGAAAGAGACAACACCCGTCGAAATTAAAAGGAATCAAAAGGAATATTGAATATCATGGATTTTTGCCTGGCGTAAAATTCATGTTGCGTACCGATTGTTCCAGATACTTTTAAAGAGATCGAGACTCTCCCTGAGTCTCAATTTTGTAGGGTCTTCCCTGAGTACCATATTGTAACTACTACACGCCGTGACGAATATAATCGCTGTGACATCGTTGAAACACTGTATCCATTTTCTTCTTTCGTCACGCTGGCCGCCGACGTCGAACATACTGCAAAAATCGGGGAAATGCTCTCAAATATATCCAAATAAAACGCCGGCGCGGCGTCTAAAGGCGTAAAACGCGGTTCTCATAATGCCCTTATCCATTTTAAACTAATATTAACTAATATTAACTAGCACAAAAGCTTAAAGACATAAATTCTATTCCCAAATATTTTGAATTGTTACATGTTCGATGAAAATCCTTTGATGAAGATCCTCCAGATCGAACCGTTTTAGAATTTGCACATCACGAGACATTACGGATACTTCTCGAGACGCTCGAGGAGACGCTCAAGGAGATGCTCAAAGCGATGCGAATAAAATAACGAAATACACGAATTTCTCTCACGAGTATATTTATTATTATATTTGTTGGAAGCGAAACGGCTACACGAGCATAGAGCGAGAGAGGCGACAACAAAGGGGTGTGGTGGGCCTATAGAAAATAATACGTGGGGCGTCGTACGTGACCTGCGCGAGTAAAGGCAAAAAGGGAAAATGTTACGAAGTTGCGGAGGCGTTAACGCGGTTAACCGATTTCAGCTTACACGTTATAATACAGTGTAAGTCTTGCCAGCAGCGGGCTTAATACATAGAGATGCTAGGCTAAGATGCGTGCCACCGCCACTACCGCCGTCGCCGCCGCCGCCGTCGCTTTGCGTTTATATTTACCGTCGGCCGATGTGACTGTAATACGTCGGCTATATATAGCCACACGACATTGAAGTAAAACGCGCGCGGGTAACAGCATGTCGCGCATTATGGGACTTACTGAAAGTTTACTTTGTCGACCTGAAACCGCGTCTCAAAAATGCCAGACGTGAGGACTCGACACCTCAGGATGTCCTGGAACAAAACGGAAGCATATACACGTTACGTTGTTAACTGTGCAGTTACGCACATAGGTACACATACATATAACATATATACATATATATAAAGATGCGGGATCGCTTTATGAGACTTTGCCAAGCGAGAATCTAAGATCGACAAGTAATTTCAAGTCAATTTTTATGAAGGAAAAAAGAAAAAAAAATAATTTTCTGAATATACCTGAAATCTCAAAATTACGCCGTCACTATCAACATTAAGAGAAATGGGCTTTCGAAACGAAAGGGAAACTAATAATTACCTGCTCCGTGGGCGTGTAATCTGGCTGTTTTACGATGGCTACCTTATCTAGAAAACTGAAACAGAATGAATGAAGGAGGAATTAGTGAAGAAACATTATGAAAATTTGTATTAAGAGAAAAGAGAAATCCTCATAAATTATTATATCATGACACTATTATAAATCTCTTTCTAAAAAAGAAAACATCCGTACTGAACAACAACAACATAAATTCGTCAAAATCAAGTTGAACTACTAGCTTCGATCGATGCCGGGGCATCCGCGATAACAATCATTGTCAATCAACCGCATCGTTATCGTGAGAGCCACTTCACGTACATATACGTACGTGGTCGAAAACGTGTCTCTTTCGTGTGCGATGTTCGATGTAGAGATGAATTAAATTTTTGTCACCGAAATCTTAGGTTTTCGAACACGAACAATTCGCGATAAGAAGGAGATGTAAAAAACTTGCTGTATATATATATACACACACACACACACACACACACACACACACAATGCGCATGGTAAGAAATATGTATGAAAGATGTACTCTAGAAGCGTACATCAAGTACCACATATGTACAATAATTCAAATCTCATGGCATTGTTAAAATAAGTGGCATATACAATTTATATATTTTATCGAGATTCGATACAAGGAATTCAGAATTTAAATTACATTATTTGATAAGGACAGAGAGCTTATATCGCAAAAGTAAAGAAATTCGAAGTAGAAAGGCATAAAGAAAAAGGTATGCCGGACGATCTTGTCGCTATGGAATTTTTCTTCCCGCATGTATATATACACTCGTTTTTATCTATTTCTTGCAAAGTGCATAAAAGAGGTATGTACATAGCACGTCGCTTTCCATATGCCTCAGTTCCACCGCACGTTGCTTCGGTTGCATACAGAAAGTCGCTCAAATTTTCAAAGACTCGTATTATATTTTCAAAAATATATATTTTTTAATATACAAAGGGAAAGCGTGTGCCGACGTGTGAGAGAAAAAATACAAACCTAGAAAGAAGAACTAATAACGAAGTTATCTGATAACGAAGTTACTTTTTCCTGCGTTATTTTTTTCCCATATTTCATATATATATATATATTATATATATTATCCTTATATTTATTCGGTCGATGTAAAACAGTTTGTATGTATGAGAACGAAGACGAAAGATTCTGAATAAATTTTAAATCACATGACAATCTCTTTCAACGTCAAGTAAACGTGTTCGTTTAGGATTTGTACGGTTCGCTTTCCGAGATTTGTAACAATTGTAATAGCGCCAGCAAAGGGCGTGCTCAAACGTGTTGCGTAAGATATTCTCTAACCATCTTTTTTATTTCGCTGATAGTTTCATTCGGAAGAATAATTCGAGCGAGAACTTGTATTTAATTAAAACTCAATGCCTGACGGTGGAAGAGTGACTTATTCCTAGAGGGATATAATAAAGCGTGTTAGATCATGCAACAATAAATCGTATTATTATATCGTGCCAATCTTTTGTAGTTGTTATTCACGATATATTATCGCATTATATTAGGTATATAGTTACACTAGTTGTACGAGAAACAGCGTTATATACTGACCGCATAATATTATATACGTCCCCCGATGTAGAACCGCGGGGATAATAATAAACCATGTTATTATATTCGCATCGATCTTACGACTATTGCTCGCGGTACGATATCCATCAGAGATTGTTACAATTATATCAGACACCGCTGTACAACTGCATCACATTATGCATGTATGTATCTCTGATTCGCGGGAATAGAACCACGCGGGATAATAATAAACCCGTATTATCTCATTTGCATCGATTTCCTGTCCGGATTACGATAAAGTGTACTGTTATCGATAGCATTCGTCACGTTCTCGCCGTTGTCAAAATTGTCAAATTGTTTTTGTCGCATGTCTATTGATTACAGAAAACTAGAGGAGAGCGCGTAATGCAGTCCTCATTCCGACATAAGAGAAAAAAAAACAGAAAAAGATGGAGGGGGGAGGGCAGTAATTGGGACACGAGAAATGCAGAATCGGGTAGTCGCTTTTAACCGTTTAGGTTATTAGACTGTTAGGAATACGGATTACCAATAACGTTTTCAGAGGTGGTCGCGGTCGGAGCCCTCCGACAGAGTGTCAACTTTCCTCTTTCGATCGAGCCGCGTTCCTGGGTCGGCCGGGCTTGAGCCGATTCCCTCCTCCCCCCCCCTCTCTCCCTCTTTCTCTTTCTCTCCTCTTGTCATCCATCTTGCTCCACTGGAGCAAGAGGAGTACCGTGCTCCTGCTCGGTAAAGTCTCAGGACACGTAGGATACCGCTGAATTCTGCAGGAAGCACGTCGACGATATCACGACGGAGAACGGAAGCGGATGCTGAAGAAGGGCAGAATATCGGGAGCGCCCGAGGAACTCTCTCTCTCTCTCTCTCTCTCTCTCTCTCTCTCTTTATTTCGCGTCCTGTGTTTGTACTCGCGTTCGTCCTCACCCTTCCTTTCTCCACCCTCTATCACCCTTTCAGAGAGCCAACATTCTCTTTCTCTCGTGCGCGTTCATCAGCGTACACCAGCGCATGCACGCACACACGCGCGTCCAGCTCTCTTTACCTTTCTCATATACTCCGCTCTCTCATTCACTCGCGCCCCCCCCTTCTCTCTCTCTCTCTCTCTCTCTCTCTCTCTCTGTCTGTGTGTGTGCTGGGAGACCCTCTCCCTTCACGCGATCCAGCCTCCCTTCCTGCGCGCTGAGGGTGGCTGAGGACGGAGGGAGCCCACCGAGAGGGAAAATCGATCCTCGACGATGTCCTACCCTAACCCCAACCCCAACCCCTCGGCCTCGCCGGGTGTGCATACACGCCCCTCTGGCACCCACTTTCCACGATCCGGGTCATGGGTCACTGCCACCGCACGTTCTCTGTTCGCTGCCAATCGTACGCAAGGATTTAACACTGCGTGTGTTATTTATCGCAGAAAATGTTATATAAAATGCCTCCTCTTTTACGAGATATTATAATTGAAGGTGTTTGTGTATTAGAGTAACAGTAGCGATGGCATTTGCTAATAGTTTGCTACTGATGACTCTCTCACTACATATATTCTCATTACATATATGTATAATAGATACAAAACAAATTAAAAACACAGTTCCAATAATAATTTTCAATGAGAAAAAAAACAACGAGGACAAAGAATTGTTAAAATACAGATTAAATAATGACGCGATAAAAATAAAATTAAAAAAGAATATAAAATAACTTTGTGTAAGAATAATACATATACTACTGAGTCAAGTGGAGGTTGGTTTTTTCATCAAGAAGTGTGCAGTGGATAAATGAAAAAGCACTTGGCCTTTGAATGTGTGTGTGTGAGAGAGAGAGACAGACGATAATGTCGTGTGACAATAAGTATATCGATGACACACTATAATGAGACGTAATGCGACTACGAAACTATAATTTGTTTCGAAAGAATACTTATTTGTGTAATAGCTAACTTTCTTTCCGTATAATTATGGGAGAGTCTACTGATATCATATTTAAACCAACGCAGGAAACGCTTTCAACTTTTTCAAACTTTTCAATAAATTTTTTATACGTACGATTCGATTATAAATATTAATATATTTTCTTGTTGTATTGAGTGTTTTTTTTGGTTAACCTGTATTATTAAATTAATACTTTGATGAACATCGTTTTGACAATAAGTTACGGGATATAAGAGAGAAGAGATTAGAACAAATTTCATGTTTTTTAATGCAAATATATTTTACTTAGAAAAGTAAATATATAATGTATCCTCCGAAATCAATTTTTCAGTATAAATTAATTAAACGAAGATACATGTTACGTAACGTTACTCTGAGGAGTTATATGTAGTACTGTGTCATAACGTACTTTATTTCGAAAATCCCTGTATATAAATGAGAAACATGTACCCATTATATTGCCAGAAAGAATCAAATGTCGCGCAATTTGTCTAATTGTAAAAGGAATGCTATGGTTACAAATGAGAAAAGGTCGGCCAAGTTTCTATAGTAGTTGTGAAAAAAATGATGGGCGCATGTGCATCTGTGTGTCTACGGTCGCGGATTATATAGGATTACCATAGGCTCGCGCGAGAAGGTAGGTCATGGAATTGGCGCGCTCCGCCAGAAATGAGGCTATCGACCTCCAGAGAATTGAAAGAGGAAGGAGGTCGTGACCTACTGGTGACTGCTACTGCACAACCATTTTCTCGTTATCGTCCTCATGTTAACCCTCCGCCAAGACCTTGAGGTGAACAAATGTTACAACGTTGTTCCTGACGGTGATCCGGACCAGGTCAAAATGCGTATCTATTATGTTAATGGGAAATAATAAACGTGATCGAGTAGTACTAGTCCAACTATTGTTTTTTTTTTATAGCAATAAATGCTGCTCAATTATCGATAATTTGCTGCCTTCTCTTATCCGGTGATTTCCTTAGAAAATAAAACGTAAGATCTTGTATAAATATATGTATAAAGAATCATTCCTCTTACAAAAAAAAAAATAAAATAAAATAGCAACATACAAAGTAATTGCAAACTGTCACACATACGGCACCATATCTTTTTTATTAGAGCGTTGTATATAGTGATAGTCTCTCGGCAAGACTTTATACATTTTCTGCTGCATTTAATTATCATTTAATTATTCTCTGTCAAATTCTATCGCTATAACAGAGGGAGGGAGAGAGAGAGAGAGAGAGAGCCAGCCAGTACAGTGCTTCGTACGCGACCGACAAAAAAAAATGCCGCGTCGAATTTTTCAACCGCTTCCGGTTAAAGGTTAAGTGTTCGACGTTCGTTCGCAAAGAATTAATTCGCGATGACAAAACGGGGAAAAGGATGAAAGCCGGATCGTGCGCAATAATAACGTGTATCGACTGAACTCGAACGACGCGCCACGCCACGTTTGATGTCGACAGCTAGCGAAGCCCCTTCTGTGCTCTAAGCTCCAGCTGCACGTTATCGAACATATACAGAATATTATACACGAGGTGTTAATCTAGCTTCATATACAGAGTCTGGACAATTCCGAGGGCAGTTTCCCTTAACGTTTCAAGATAAATTGTAAATTTTCTAGAATAAAATATTTTATTGATATAATGGTAAACGTGTGTTAATTCTAAAAACAGTAAAAAGTCTGGCTCTCTCTCTCTCTCTCTCTCTCGGAATACACAATCTTTGGAATACTATATGATAACCAAGTTCAATTGGCTTCTAAACTGGTGGCATTGACCACCGATTCTCTACGACTCTACGCGATGGATCCTTCCGTCTCGCTAATATATGTATGTATATGCACATATGTATGCATATGCGATGACACCCCGTATGCAGGCTTGGTGGTCGGAAAGTGGGTGACGGTTTAACTCCTAGAACTATATCTACTCGACATGTAGATGTAGGGCCGATGTATAATCAGTATGCGACGGCTTATGCATCCGCGCAAACCGCGCCGCCACGAATTCATCGTACCTTTTGTACGATGTAAGGCGTATAGTGTACCCCGGGGTGCGAATCAATAATGTTGCAACGAATCTCCCGAGTCACGGCAGTGACTAGTCTAGGCCGTGTGGAGGAATTCAGGATTGGACTGAAAATTTCTCGTATCACAACTGTATGGAGGAAATCAGGTCGTGTCATCAGGTCGCGACCAACTCGAAAAGGCTCGCTCTCTTCGCAGCTCCTGCATTTAAGAGGGATAGAAAGAGGAGTGATCCGATTACGTTTTGCTGGTTTTAAAGTTCCCATCTATTCGATATCGAAGTGCGAGGGAATCCGATGGTCCCAGTCTCCTCGCTGCTGCTGCTACAAATTGCAGTCATTCGCTCGCGATTCGAATCACAAATATTTGACGGATCTGGCTGTTCTAGCTATTCTAGCTGTTCTAGCTGTTCTAGCTGTTCTAGCTGTTCTTGCCGCGTGCGCGCGTCACTCTGTAATCGCCTGATCGCCAATCTATGGTGGCTGTCAACATTAAACGTTCTCTTTGTCTTCCGTACTTGGGCTGGCACGTTTTCTCTCTTGTATACAAGAGACTCTTGTAAACAAGAATCCGACAATACTGGCTTTTGTCTAAAAAAAGAAAAAAAAACGCTAATTTTCTCCCTCTCCCTCGTCAAATTTTTTTCCATCATAACACTACAAGTATCGCGAGCGGTTGTTTATTGATAATTTTTATTTTTCAAAATATTGTATTTCTTGTATAAATGATAGGATTTTTTCTTACTTTTTCAATAATTATCCGTCCTTTATACTGATGAAATGTTTGACTTTTATTTTTATAATAATTTATTCGCTTAGTCTGGACAAGAAACGTTGGTATTTCTAGTGTCAATTAAATTGGAAAAATCCATGTAGAAAAGTTGATTTCGCGCGTTATCTAAAAAGAACGACAAATTTTTATAACCGCGCGCGCATTTGTCACTAAATTTTTAATTCGATGAAATTCTCGTTTGTTAATGTAATCATCCTGTAAGCGTATTATACAATAAGTATAAGTCACGAAGAGGGTTTAATTAAGTCAATCATGGACACGTATCATAAAAACGAAACCAATCGAGTATCATCATTACGATTATGACAAACACTGTTAATTGCGATATTAAAAGCTTCATCTTTCAGCTCATATCTTCTTTTCCTTATAAATCAGATATAATTCCGATGTAATTCAATTTTTTTTGTATTTCTCGCTGCACGTTAATATTACCTTTCGTTTCATCATTTTGACTACTTTGAGAATGTTTTATGCGTGGGATAAGAAAAAATAAAAGAAAAGAATCACTTTTTCGCACTGTCGTCGATCAACATATCGACGATGAAAAAGAAAAGCGCGCGAAAGTGACTGTCTATCCAAACGTTTACGAGCTATAGCAGCATCAATAATCCGCGCGATATAGACATTATAGACCAGTGCCTAAATATAGCGGCGTGTGTTTCCCTTTTTTAGACGCGCGTTGAGGTGTGTTATCACGTAATTGAAACGTCGCTTACTTTTATCATCGAGACGAGACGCGCACAATTAAAATATGGTAACAAAGCCACATACACACATAGGAATTGTTAGGTTTTTCTCCTTTTTTCGATATGACGATTACTCAATTGTCCTCTTTTTACTTTGGCGTCGACGCTAAAGATCATTCAGTCCAAAAATGATTTCCATTAAACCAACAATCAATAATCGTACGTTGTCATACACGATAATCATGTGACGAACAAATATTTATTCTCCATACATTGACTCGATATTTTCGATATTTTCGATTTGTGATATTTTCGTGAAAGAGTACATATCATTGTACCATATAATTTAATGCGCGTAAGATGGTCACACTTACTACTTATATCACGCGCGTTGCGCGTTTACAAAAGAAATTTCTACTGACAAGGCAACGATTATCCGAATTATCATGATATAAAAAAAGAGTAAATGGAATCAAAAACAATATCCTTATCCTTTTCTCAGATTTCTTTCCGAGCAAAGATTCATATGAGAAATTCACGCAATATCCCTATTGCGACTTGTTTAAAATCGGTTGCGAAAAGCAGATTTTTAAATATCATAAAATTCACGTTTAAATTAATAAAATTGCCTGTACTTGTACACTACATTCGCGAATAGACGAGCGTATTTTTAGTACATATATGTGCTAAGCGTAGTCGTAGAAACACGCGGCCACTACATGCGGATTATACGTAGATACTGCAAGATTATAGACATCTTGCGTCCCCGTCATCTACGAATATGCTACGGGAACATATCTCACCCGAGCGCGATGCCTAAAAATACATGTCGCTATTTTTAACGTCAACGATTCCTGCGCTGCACATGAGAATAAAGAGAGAGAGAGAGAGAGAGAGAACCGCACCGTCGAGCTGCACTAATGGGAGGAAAAAAAAAGAAAAAAAAATGCAAGAAATCTGTGATAATATGATTATGAGTGGCACATTGATGAAGGCAATAGAGGAAAAGAGAAAGATAAAGTTCGTCGTGCTTCGTCACCACGAATTTAGTAATATATACCAAAGTTCAAGTAGAGAATTCAATTGACGGAAATACATACGTATATATCTTCTCATCTCGCGATATTTACTCCCTATTGCAAGGCATTATTTAAAAATATAATAATTATTCCAGTTTATTTGTTCGTTTCATCTCGAAATTTTCAAAGTTTACATTTTATCGATTCAAGTTATATAAGATGAATCAGTAATACAGAATGTTTCTGGATATACTGTATATGTATATCGATAAACAAATGGTATTATGATTCCACAGAAGAGGACGTACTCATGTAAAAGACTGACAAATTAAAATGTTTGACGACCTGACAGATGAAAAACAGTCACATGCTGATTATTGACTAAACGGATAAAGTCGTAGTTTACGCTAGTAAGATTTATGCCTTTTCCTTTGCACGCGCGCGCGCGCGCGCGCGTGTGTGTGTGTGTGTGTGTGTGTGTGTGTGTGTGTGTAAAAAGATGTAGTGCAATAACCCTCGCTACTGCATTCGATCGGCCGCTTAATCCTCATCAGTCAAATGCAATCGCTATCGTAATCTCATCGAATTACGCGACGACGCCGCTTTATGTAACTAAGTCAACGCTCGTGTCATCGAATTAGCGCACAAAAAAGCTCGAGGTTGGGTCAATTTGTCGAGAGAGCCTCTGGATAAACGGGTGGCTTCTATTAAAGTGATTACCTTGTTAAGGCATTGTTTCCATTGGCATTAAATCGGTGTCACAAGTCTATAAATACACGCGGCGCGCATATCGTGTCTATATATATATATATACATGAATTTTTTTATTTTCTCTGATAATTTGGCGATTATAAAAAAATTTGTTCACACATGTAAAAATGGAAAAACATTTTTTTTACAAAGATATCTGTCAAGTATATTATTGAACGAACGATAAGATGGAGTAAACGATCAAGTTGTGTTTGTTAAATGAGGTTTGTTCTAAAAAAAGACCTTACGCGCCCAACGACAATAAATCCGCAATGTATGGTGGTGTTATCGACGCGTAAACGTTATCTTACTCGATTTCTTATCGTGCACGTGATATCATCCCCGTAGTAGATTACAATAACCGCATCTCGTACTCTTCACGTGTAAGAAGATTCAATAATCAGCAAATTTAATTGACTTTGCAAGAAACGCTAATGATATTAATCGACCGTTAAAAATGTTTGGCCAAATTCATTTGTTATACATTTATTTAGTCATTATACAATATATGTTATTTTATACACATCCAAATGAAACTGCGGCTACTGGACCGACTGGACGTGACATCAACACAACCCATTCGTGAAAATGATGTCGGTTTAAATTCCTCGCGACTCAACTCCTGAACAATCAACCCGATGTGCCAAACTCTTTCGTAAGTTTATATAGAATAAAACGACTTACTATTTGGCGCAATCGATAAGTTGATACTCGTTACTTCTCTCGAAGCTTTGCTGAACGCCTCGATCTTTCCAAAGTGTTTCGACGATATCGTAGAATTCCTGAAAGAACACAACAATCAATCAATGATTAGACCTGCTTTGCAAATTTTTTCGAGAAAGAAACGTAAGTCATTCCAGCGATCGTTTCCGAGGATCGAGAGGGAAAAGCAGCATAGAGTGTATAATACATTTTAATGAATACACTGTACGTTTAAATGAAATGTAGCTTTAAATGAAAAAGATAAAAATGTAAATCTTCCAAAATTTTTCGAAGATATAATAGGTATGTAATGGGTGAGCAACCCGCGAATGATTCTCCCGATCGGCGGTGTATTGAATGATATGAGCAATACGATCTATTCACGTACGTATATTTATAGTACATTCATCGCCGTCTTTATTAGACATGAATCGCCGGACTGTTGTAACGTTTAATGTTTAATTAGTGGTTAACTCGCCGCGGAAAAATGTGCTGCCCGTCAAATCTGCGACTTGTTGAAAAATGTGGCTGCAGAATCTACATATGCGCGAGGAATGCGTAACGTTGTTACGTTGTAAGTCAACCGCAAAGATTATTCAATCTTGATCTCGTGATGTATTGAAAAAAAATATTTCGCAAAAATGCCGCTGTCTTGATTGCAAAAGCGATCAATAGATTTTTATCAATTTCACGTGAAAAAGTTAGGAAATATTTGCAAATTGAAAATATTGAAAGTTGGTAGGATGTAATATACATTCTTATGGCTCAAACTTTGAATTGTTTGATTATTATAGAGATATAAAGATTAAACTCTGTAAAATTCCCTAACCCTTAAACAATCAGTGGACGTGATTCGTTTCTTGTTTTTCACTATGCTGAAAATTCACCTGCATTCTCTATCATGGCGCATTCCACGGGAATATCGGTCGGGTTATAGACTAGGCGTTTAGTGGTAAGTTAAAATCGCGACTTGAACGTTACGTAAATAATGGCGACCACAAGGCTACACTTCGCGTTACTGACGGAGGATGTCGAGCGCATTAATAATTTAGATGTTATTGTGTCGGGAAACTTGGTTTCCTCACTTGCGTAGACGATTTTGCAGAAGGCGCTTTGGTTCCCGTGACATAACACACATTGAAAGTCTCGAAAATTATGAGGGAACGATGGGATAGAATTCTTCTTCTTAGAGAAACTAAACTAAACTAAACTAATTATTGCGCGCGGTCGCGGTCGAATGTCAAATAAAATAAAATATAATAAATGTTAACTGGTAAATATATATTATATTAATAATAGCGACGATATTTTTCTCAGTTGATCGAGTAAATCCGATCAATGACGCGATCAATGACGCGCTCTTGTAAACGGCGCGAATATTAAAAGTTGTCGAGTAACCGTGTGTAATGCGCAAGTATGCCAGTCCGTGTGCATAAATCAACGTCGAAACAACGTAAAGTATTATTAATTATTTGAGCATTCATGCATCGTATTCTATCGTACGATGATATATTCTTTACGAAACGTACCAGTAGATACAATACCTATATACATTGCAAAACTGAAATTTCGTTTATATATATATATATATATATAATAGTTTGCGCAGAGTCTATATTCTCGCGTGCATTAATTCAAATAATTTTTAACAGCGATTAACAAATATTAAGGAATTAAGTAAATCCCAATTCGAAATAAGTATCGTTTTATAGATCGTTTCACGAGAATTATATTTTTATAACTATTAAATGCAAACTATTAAATATATCACTAATGATCTGATAATGACATTTCTGCTAATGTACATATACAAGTTTGACGTTTGAGTATTAAAACAATAATTAAGTACTCAATTATTGTAATGTCAAAAATGTAATCTTTCGCATATACATATACGTAAACGTATATGTAGATATTTAAGGTCAAATCTTGTGCAGTGTCAATCGTTTCGTACGTCAGTTGTAAGCAAAACCGCAAAAATTGACCCATAGACTTATCTTGCGAAGAAAAGCACAACGTACGGAGTTGTGGTGCGTAATTGAGAAGAAAGTTGTAGTTGACATGTGCCTCAAGTGTCGCGGCGCGAACTTGGATAGGACACGTTTTCTCGCACGGCATGAGCGGGCAGTCTAGTCGGAAGTCCATCCCGAGTGTCGTCACGGACAGCGCAAGCTGCAAATCACGCAACAGTCGCGACGGCTGATATGGTCGGCCGGTGTGCTTGGCAATAACGACGACGGTTATATTAATAAATTCTCCTGTCGATGCTATTTCCACGCTTCCACGATCGATGGACGGGACGCATCGTCGATCCATCGCGTCGCGTCGCGTCGCGTCGCGAGGAAGGATCACCTCTGCACACGGCTGTTGGTGCAACCATCTCTTCGCCTATTACCATCATTATACACGTACTAATAATTTCGTCCAAACGCGTCATCCTCTCGCTAAGCCCCTAAACACTATCGCAAAGCGTGTAACTCGGCTAAAAATACAGGAAAACGTATATACATGCCTTGTTAAATTTGTGTGCTGCATGCGGATAAAAGTCTCGAAGGGGCTTACTGCAGGGACACCCTTACCGATTCAACGTAAATCCTTTAAACGCGCGAGAAAAAAAAAATATATATATATATATATATATATATATATAAAACATACGCGAGTGAGTTACTTTTTTATAAATTGACATTACAATATTTACATTTAATTTAATATTTATTATACACCGTCCTCTCTGAATGTTTTACCATAGATATACTACGAATTTTTTGAAATAATATGTACATACTTATTATTATGCATATATATTCTGATTCACTCGTTTAATTATATTATACCTCTCCCATGTAAAAAATATTCAAGTACAAGTATATAAAAAAGAAGTATTGAAATTACTTGACATTTTCGAAAGTTCCAATTTCGAAAATTCCAATTTCAATTTTTAACGTTATTTTTACATTTACATCGAATTTATTTGCAACGAATTATTTGTACGCAGTCGATTGTTTGTAAAGTAATCGTAACGATGCCAATGTATTTTGAATCTGTGCCGAAATTAAGCTTAGGATTTTCCTAAAATAAATTTCCACCAAACACCCCCGCTTTTTTCCTCTCATCTCGTATATGGAGAGCCGAATGACAGTGGCAAATTAAAGACGAGTCGTAGAAAGCGGCTGCTAGAGTTCGTAGAATTGGCGATTAGTAGAATCGGTGTCTTTCATCAGCCACGAAAAAATGCCGGAGATATGCTAAATACAATATTTATTTATTCTTTTTTAATTAATGCAATAAATAGCACTTTGTCATGCAAACGTTTGCCTGCTATTCAATACGCATGATGCAATCGTATCGATGCTCGTTGTATTTTCTTTGCACATACATATTTCTTTGAATACGAATTGAAGAGTTAAATGCCAACGGCGAGCGCTTAAAGACGAAAATACTCGGGATTTTTATGGAAATTCTCTTAACTTAATGAAATTTGTTAAATTCTGAAATCAGATTCTTCATCAGCTCATTACCTCGCGACGATCTGAAACTAATGCCGAAAAGCGTCGAACGGTAGAATATAATGTTGAGCTTTAGCGATACAAACGTAATGCCTATTGCGAATATTGCGAATAATCCATAAATACTTACTGCGCGAATCACATAACGCACGCGGTTTCGAAAGCTCGCGAATCGCGTTCGGTGCAAAACGATTTAATTCAATTAATTCGGATGCATCATCGAGCAACGAATGAACGCAACCACGTGCAACAAATACATATAATGGGCCACTCTAGCCGCTAGCGTCCGCGCCAGTCCGCGCGCTGGCAAAGGTAATGGTGGCATCGTCTCTACACGCCTGAATGCGACTTGTGCGACTCGCGCTGAATGACGCAAAACGCCCGCGCCGCGTGCGGATTATTTCGTCGCGATCATTTTATTTCGAGAACCGTGTCGCTCACGCGCTTTTTCAATTCGTTCTCTCTCTCTCTCTCTCACTCAAAATCGCCCTTAAACAGGCAATACGACTACGTAAATCAATCGATGATTAATTAATTTGGTATCCTAATAAATACCTACTTTAGCCAATGAGACAAAACTTTCTTGACGTGTCATTCGATATACGATATATATATATATATATATACCTACAAGTATAAAATCTTTCACCAACGCTAGCAGGATCGTTCCTTATTGAGAAATTTCGCTTGGCAGTGAAATTTCTTAGGAACAGAAAATCGATCGTATCGATCGATATAAATTTCTATTACGTACGAATATAATGAGCGTATGAATTTGTGAGCGACACGGTATATTGAGAGATATCGTGCGTATGTATGTACATACACACATACGTACATGAGAAATGGCGCAGCACGTAGTACGGGACACTGTACAGCGCACTAACATGTGCGGTGGCTGTATAAACATTGTAAACACCGATCGTGCCACGCAGTGCTCACTTCAAGAGTCTATACGTATGTATGTACATACGTATGTCTGCGTGCCTCGTTGCGTTAATCCGCAGTTGTGCGTCCGTCGCGTCGATACCGGTTTTACGAGAGAGAGAGAGAGAGAGAGAGAGAGAGAGAGAGAGAGAGAGAGAGAGAGAAACGCGAAGAAATGTCATCGCGATGATCGTTAAGTAAATTTCGACGTTGTCACCCATTACACGCGTGTACTTATTATTACCGTTTACACGCGGTCTCATATGTGCGCTAAACGCTAAACGATGTCGAGTAATCGCGAGTTGTACCCAATATACTAGGACGATCGTTTCCAAGCTGCAGGATATCATGCGACAAAATGATCCATATTACGGACAAACAATTATTACATTAAACTTATTATTTCATCTTGTGCATAAAATTCTATAAAAGTTATATATAAAAATTATCAATTTCATATATTTAAATAATAAATAATTAATTGATAAGACACACACACAAATGTCATTAGAATGACATGTTAATTGCGCGAAGCTTTATGTAATGTGTTTAGAGATCCTTATATGTGATTTAGAAACAAACCTATACTGTATACTGGGCGGTATATCGTTCCGTAATCAGCAATAATTACAATGTAAATTGTAATTTCACGAAAATTAACTCACGAGAGAATGTAACTATAGGAGCGATGTACGCGTTACAGTTGCTCGGGTTATCGACAATTGCAGTCAAATCAAAATTGTAACGCGGAATGCGTTGAGATAATACGAACTAGATACCAACAAGTATACAAAGCGTCTCATTAAACGTTGCGCGAGCGAAATTCGCGATGGGAAAAGTAGGTATACGCGCGGTCAATTCAATCGCCTTTCCTTTTCCATCTCTGATGAACTGAATTAACACGTGATGAAATTTAGTCAAGTCATTTAGAAACAAATTTTACGTGACGCGCAACCGTCTCGGTCCGCGGGGATTCCCTCTTACATACTCACGTTATCTTTGTCAACGAGGAAATGCAACGCAACACATTACAACGCAAATAGGCCGTGGCTGACTCACCGGAGGATAATCGAAGTCTGGGGAAGACGAGACTTCCAGGACATAGTCCATTCTGCTCTGATTTGACGTGTCTCCTAGTGTAACGGGCGGCGTTAATGTACTCATCGCACTGGTTATCGTCTGCAAAAAAAAAGGTATCGTGTCTCTCTTTTTTTATTTTCAAATCAAAAATTTTTTCCATATAGATATATAGATTAAAGTAATTTTGTTATAATCTATGCGTTTACGTTAGAACTTATACCTTCTCATATGTGTATAGTTACTATATTAAATATAATCTTTTGTAAAAATAAAATATTATTTGTATCGTTTTATTCGTCTTACGTTATCCTCTTATGTCTATCCATATAACATCACACATATGCGTCTATCCATATGTGCGTTATTATTATTATTAATGTAATAAAAGTATGAACTGCGTATAACAAGAATTATATTATTGATTAAGCTCGATGAGGAGTATTACGGTCTAAACTAAATATTTTAGTAAAAAAATCACATTTATAATATTTTCGCTAGAATCACTTTTATTTTTCACTACAATTACTGGTTCGCTGTTAATTATTTGATAAGAATTTCGTATGTAAAAAAAAATGTTGAGGGTAGCAGCAGTTGGGGTCAAAAAACAGAATCGCACGCGTAGTTGAACACGAATTTGAATGACAAATCGGTGACAAAATGCTCTTGCAGCAAATTTGCGTGTCACGTAACGGTTATGTCGAGTGTTATTTTGAGCGCAATGATTTGTGTGTCTACTAAAACTTGGTTTGGAAGCAAACACGGAATCCGTGATGCAACACTGACGAGAATTCAACCATCGATGAGATCATCGCTAAAAAAAAGGAGAAAAAAAAGAGTTGAAGAGAGAATAGTAGCTCTTGCAATAATCTATATTTTTTTCAACTAAACTCACTCGCCAAATTACACAACCTCTCTTCTTACTCAATTGATTTTAATTCTCATGTAATAGGTCTGTGAAATTTTTACGCCAAAGAAGATAGATATGTATGTAGGCTGATAGGATACTTACCAAAATGGCGTCCCTAATATTCTTCTTAATATCTTCAATCTTCTGCCGTTTTTCCCTGCAAACATCAAGATGCATATTAGATTCACACTTTAGTTGTGTTGTTAGAAATCCGACACCAATTTCTTGTTGACCGCGTAACTAAATGTGACAAAGTATTACGACTAACAATGCGTATTGTATACAACAGACATAGTAGCGTAAGAGTAGGTCGACCAGCAATAATGATCGAGTCACGAGCTGAATGAAACGATAGCAGAGACCGTGTGTTCTTTTATATCGGTATTTTCAGACCAATTCGATAATTTTAGCGCGGCCAACTACCACGCGTTATTTAAAAGAACTCGCTGGAGAACTCATGGCCGATCAATAATGCGTATTTCTGGAACTGTCTGTTTTCAAAGATTCCGGCTGAAGAGAATAAATTCTCTTTGTTCGAGACATTCAAATTAAAAACTCGTTGCAAAATAAAAAAAAGTTTCGGTATACTGGTATACATATGTATATATCGGATTGAGAAAAAAGTTGCAAAGAAATAAAATATAGAAATTGAAAGACGTTCTTCTATTCTTCTAGCTACTTCACAGTTCAGTTTGTCACTGAATTTAGTTTAGACACCGAATAGAACGATGTGTTGTACAATGCGAGCGTAAAAATTATTAAGAATATATATATATAAATTATTGAATTATTGATTTATAATGACGAGGCTCCTTCAAGACAGAGAAAATATTTAAAGCGGATCAGTGAAAGATGAAGGAAATCAAGTAAAATTACGAGAAACGTAACCGCATGAGATAACTATCACTAGCAAGCTAGAAAAATAGACTAAAATGGTATAAAAATGAGAAAAGAGAAGTAGAATCATATCGAATTCGAGGAAGAAGACAAATCATCCAGAACGTTGCTTAAAAAAAAAATAAAACATTCCTCGTTTTATTGAAAATACGAGAAAAGCGTTGATATACATACTAATCTGAAGGTAAAAGAAGGTAGGTAATTCCAGTGAATGCATTTCGAAGATAATGAGATGATTGAGAAAAAGAGTGAAGCGATAGTGAAGAATAAATACATGTATAATGCGATGAATACGTCGTCGCATACTTGGAAAATAGCAAAGGAAATAGTAATAATGATGGATCCGTATCAGCCACGTGTTGATATATACTTGTAGTTAATACTGCAGCGGTCTGAACCGGTTATGAGATGAATCATTCGCGCAGAACGCCCAACGCCGCGCGCTAAAAAATTCATTACGCTACAATTTGCGATTCAAAATAAGTCGAAAGAAGAATTGTAAGAAGAAAGCGTCGCCATTGGCCACAATTAAAAGGATAGTAAAAATAGCGTCAATATGCTCTCAGCAGCTAATATATAGCAGGTTGTGTGATGAGCTCCTCTCTTGGAAATCGTCTCGCGAGATTCGGAGATTCGGAGATTCGAGCTGTAGATGTGAAGTGAAGAGTGAAGGAAAGAGTCAAGAGATGCTCCGGGAAAATTCAATAAACGTATAACCGCATATAAGTTTTGTGTTAAACGGCTTGCGTGAGTAGCAGGGAGTACGTACGATGACGATCTCGCATTTCGCTGACATTTAATTGTAACGCGAGCCTCGTGATGAAAAGCCTCGCTACGCGACGGAAACAAAGAAGAGATTACGGTCCTCCTCCTTTAATGGGTTAACGACACATGGAATAAACGGATTGAATTGGTAATCTAATCGAACGATCGCGCCAAGTAATTTTTCAAGTAATTTCAAGTAAGACGAAACTTACGCCTCGCTGAAACCATTGACGTGCAGTATCCTCATCTGTTTGACGATCGTGCTTTTGCCAGATTCTCCTGCTCCTGAAACAGGGCAAAATTAATCTTTGGCGATATTAATCTCTCTGGAGTCTGCAGGCGTGATGGCTACTCAGCGGACGCACCGCGGGATTTGCGGGATTTGTGGGATTTGCTGTGATGTGATGTAATAACGCGCGAAAGAATATCTCACAGAATTGAGATTTCGTCAGCCGAGATATATTGTACAATATATGTATATACCTAGTATGGTATAGTTATCGATCGGCCGCGATAAAAGGTATCGTGTCATGCAGGGTTTAACGATACATTGCGGGAATAAACGACTGGAATGCGCATTTTTCTGCATGCGTTGCGTGCAGAATCCACTCTGGAATTAAATGTTGGACATTCTCTAAACTCTAAAATGAACCAGGACGATTTCCTGCGGTATGCGATGTGCGAGATCGTGACCTAGATGGTCACGATCTCGTCCTATCGCAATCGAGTTAATTAAAGCGCCTTTTTGATGTCCTCTCGGACATGAGCGAAATATATCAAGTTTTTTAACTTTCTGCCCAAGTTTTAACGTAATTCACGAGCATCAATATTATTTCCTTACCTGTCGTATTCTCGATACTCTGTGTGTGTGTGTGTGTGTGTGTGTGTGTGTGTGTGTGTGTAATGTTGTGCTCATTTTATATGTATACCTAACATTTAGCGTCACTTTTCAAATGTTCTCGACGCCCAACTCTTAAATTCTCGTTAAAAACTCGTAAATCAAATGAATGACAAATTTGTTCGGAGAAGTTTAATCGGAGAAAGCTTATAATTCTCAGTAGCATTAATTGACATAATCTCTAGTTACAACTTACAAAAACCTTATTAAGTAAATCACAAAATAAAATTTTGCAAAAACAAAATAAAGTTATTAAAAAAAAAAAAGAAAAGAAAGAAAGCCGGAAACAAGCTAGAATACATATTAGTTTGTATATATACTTGTTATATATTCGTATGTATACTATTATATATTTGTATAATATACAAATATATACTATTATATTGTATATTTGTATAATATAATACTTGTTATATATTGGTATGTATACTATTGGACACGTATAATTCTTCGTTAATACGCCACTCGCCAGGTATGATTATGTTATGCGTTTAATTCTGGCTCCAAGTTTTTCCCAAAGATTTCTGTGATCAAAGTCGTGAACGCGATGACACAAGTTGTATATGTAAAAAGGAGATCGAATCAGCCACGGTCGTAATGACACCGCGAGGAGGAAAGGAAACAATACGGCGACAGCTGTTGCTCCGTCCGACGCGACGCGACGCGACGCGACGCGACGCGAAGCGACGTCCGTCTCTCGCGTCTCCGGCTCCGCCGACCTGCTCCGACAACCGCGAGGATAACGACGATGACGACGCATTCGCATCGAATTAGAACAACGACCTACATAAACGCCGCGTCGGATAATAGGAAGGCGAATGTAGACGGAGTTTAAACGTCGCGTCGCGTCGCGTCGCTAAATAGAGTCCAATCAATGTTTTTCGCACGTACGTATTTTCGATATGAAAAGAGGGAAAAAAATATGTGAAATACAAGAAAGAGAGAAAGGAAAAACTGTGTTTTAAAAGTAAACAGCATAAATCTGGAACTATTATTAGAATTTAAAATTACAAAGTGAATATTGTTTATCACAAAGAATCGCATGCGATAACGTCAAAAAGTAAAAATGATAGAATCAGTTAACGCTGGACGTGACAGAGAAACAGGAAATAGAAAAAAAGTTAAATTTATTGGTAAATAAAATAGTTACTATTTGGGAAAAGCTTCGATGAAAAAGACGTGTAGACAGAACAAAATGTATAGCAAGAAAAAATAAAACGTAAAAAATATTGTTTGAAAATAAACTTTCGTGGAAGCAAATATTTGTATCGACTAGTATTAAGCGCTACATTTTATTAAACGTATCTAAAAAAGTATAAAAAACACTCGTTTAAGCATGTTTAAAAATCATTAAAGAGAAAAGAGAGATTTATTCTATTATACTGCAGAGCACAACGAATAACGAAATAATGTAAGCACAGAGCTGAATTTTTTGTCGTAGCTACGAGAGAGAGAGAGAGAGAGAGAGAGAGAGAGAGAGAGAGAGAGAGAGAAGGATGAGAGAAAGGTGAAGGAGACGAGAATCGAAAGCGACGAAAAGAGGTGACAAACACGAGGCAGCCACTGGATATTCGTGGGTGCCTGCAGCTCGTACGATAATCGATAAAATTGAATTACGCGCCGCTGAACATCGCGATAGCGGCCGGCCGGTTGGTTCTCACCCCCGGTGTCGCGGAGATTCTCTTTGTTCGAAACCGACAATCACCGACGGCCCTGTCCGATACCTGTGGTTTACTTTAATTAAAAAACTTGACGGACGGACGGACGGACGGACGGACGCACGGACGCACGCACACACATCCCGTGAGATTAAAAAGCGTCGTTGGATTCACCGTAGGAGGAGCACGAGTGATATCGATTATACGCTCGTCTTCGCATCTAAGCGTGCGCTTATAATTTCCTTGTGTCGCGTCGCGTCGCGTCGGTCAAATCGGCTCGCACGATGAATACGACTTTGCTGAATTGTATGTAATATCGAGGAGAAGCTGTATACTGGAGAAAAAAATTATTGGTCGAGAGCTCTCTCTCGCTCTTTTGCTCTCAGCTATATGAACATGGTATAGGTATACTCACCGAGCAAGAGCAGCCTGTGGGTGGCACGGTAGACCTGCTTATCCTTCTGCAGCTGCCTAGTGATGGCATCGGATCGTCTCTTCTGATTTTTGCTTTCATCCTGGCTGTCCTTGTTCTGGCTGCCGAAACACCCCATGACACACCACGGGAAGGATACGGATCGCGGTTCGCCGTTTTTCCCTTCGACGTCTAACGGTTCGGGTCCGGGCCCGTCAGGTTCTCGGATCGCGTATACGGCGGTGGCGGTGGCGGAATTGAGCGAGAGGTAGGACGATCGGGACACGGATGGGGACGGACGACGACGGATGGGGCCCGCGATCGAGTTGGTGGTCGCGAGGGCGACCGTGCGGTCCGTGCGGTCCGTTCGATCGGCGGGCGGCGCGGCGGGGGGGGCGACGAACACGCCGCCCCCCCCCGGCCTGGCG